CACGATCCTGCCCGTGAGCAATCTCCCAACTCATCTCTGCTCATCTCTGCTGTTGATGTCTGTCGCAGCCTGTCGAGAACATCACGTGACGAGAGTATTTTGTTTCCGTTACATACGTAATATATCGCGCATTTGATTTTAATAATGATGCTATTTAATAATAAAACGATGGAGTAAAGGAAGCAATGGTATGGCCAACTCAATGGCCTTTGAATATTCGAATATTGGGAGTAGAGCAATATCTTGTTTGAATTTTCAACCGATCAAAGGAACTCGATAAACGGTTTCTTGTGACCCATGGAAGTATTTACATGATTTTCGAGACTTTTCGAAGGTCTCGTGAAGGATGGAAACGGTTTCCGGACGGAAACACAGGAGGAATTGCAGGAGGAAGAGAAAGAGTAAACAAGGAGAGCAAGTCAAGTTGGAGGTTAGGTTGAAGAAACAGAGGGAATTTAAGTTGCATAGTTCTCTCCTGTGGAAGAAGGTTACTGCAAGAATGGATGCTAGTACCTTTTGGGCGAATTATACCGTGGCTCAGGAATGGCAACAAAGGTATCGATTAAAACAATTGTTAGTGGAAAATTATTTAATGTTCTATTATACTTCCATGTATAAAAATTATCTGGACATGTAGAATTCACAGAAATGATATTAACGAATGATTTGTATTATTTTGTCTCAAATGGCAGACACAGCGTAGTTTGGTGGAGGACTCGTTGCATAGCCCTGGAGCATGAAAATCAATTGCTACGAGATAAAATAAGGTCTTTGGTAAGAAGGCAACATTCCGAAGTACCCGAACAATACAAGGAAGAAAATACGGAGGAGAAGAATGATGACAGGGATATAGAAAGCAGCTTGGAAGAAGAAAATCTGGAATTTCACGTGGACGAAGACATGATGAGTTTCTTAGAGCAGAGTTTGCGACATAAAATGGAATTAAAGCAACAACGTGATAAAGAATCTCTCAAAGAGGAAGAAGACCTTAAATTTGAGGGAGGGGCTGCTTGGGATCGCGAAAGATCCGAATGTGCAAAATTGTTGTACGGCGAGGCAAGTCCTAGAATTCTTGCTATGGAAACTGCTCTGCAAGCAACCATCGATAGGCACAAGGATAAAGCAAAACCTCAATATTGGCCAAATATACCCCTCAAGCCTTAAGAAGTCGACATATCTGTAAGATCATCGTTTCGTAATAAACTGCCTAAAAATAGGCATTTTTTGGTCGCCATTCCCTATTCGTTATGAAATAACTAAGCATTAGTTAAATAATATTTTTTTTATGCAAAGCGAAAATATAGGAGATGTATTCTAAAGAAATTTGTCATTCTAACATTAATATGCGATTTTGTTCAGTTTAGTGGTTTTACCTGAGAATTTCTTCAAAAGACGTTCTCGAAAGGGCCGAGAGATGGCAGCACAAGACCGAATCTTTTTGAACCTGTAATTCGCGCGCAAGTCTGGCCGTGTGTCATTCGAAAGTCTTTCCTGTAGACATTTACGACGCGTCTTGCTGTCTGCTGCGTGAACGCTGAATTAATATACCACAAGAAATTGCGGGATTTCGTAAGATACATTCGTTGTTTATGAGTACTTGTAGTGATTAGCGTAGAACGGTAGTGCGGGATGCAATATGTAGTTAATTGCTAGCGGCAGGGAAAAAAGGCCATTTACCTAAATTGCTCCCTGCGGTATCTAGGTCCTGGGAGTGATTATGTCGCATAAATGTGAGAACACTGTCGTATCTCGTTCAAATGTCACATCTTAATTGAACGTTAATTCCCTCCGCGCCGGCAACCCCTTTCCACGTATTGAAGCAAGCTGCCACGTGGACAAGTACTTAATTATCGGAATCGAGAACAGAACTTTCGATTCTCTTGTCGGGTCGAGTCTCTTTTGTCTCTCTTTGAGTAGATCGAGAGCGGCTAATGAAATAGCCTGATTACTCGGCAAAGATCCGGGAAAGTTGATTCAGCGTTCGCGAGTGAAAACGTGCCCGTCAGGTTTAGTTATAAGTTTCCTTCATTTCGGAACAATGCGCCGACACGTCGTTAGACACACGAGCGATCGAAAATCAGTCATATCCAAGATGAAATTTGCAGCTGCGTCCACGTAACCGGTTCCGGGGTCATTCTTTCCCTTAAACCCGTTGAACGGCACAATTCGTTGCGTGTTCAAATTAAAAGTCAGGACCATTCAATTTCCTCGCTTCGACGGTAGAAAAAGAGGATCGGGTACTATTCCTGAGGCGCGTTCAGTTTCTATACTAAAAGCACAAATCACCACCGGCTCGGATGATTTTTACACATACTTGCTACCCGACAAACGAGTCGGGCAGAAAATGGTAATATGGGAATAAATCAGGAAGCAGCCGTAAAATCCCTGCCGCTCCAGGATCGGCCGAGGAAACGGGACAAGGCAAGCCGCTAAAATGTATTCCCGGGGCTAATGATCACTCCAGTTATTGAAAAATCAGGCAGAATGAAATAAAGACGGATTTTAACGCGCCCGTCGACCTCCGCCGTTCCGAGGGCGCCGCCCCCCGTTCCCTGGAAATTCGACGGTTCGGCTCGAAGGACGAGCGTCGTTAGGTCCTTTCGCGGAATTTCTATCGGCAGGACCGAGTCCTGGCGAAGGAGGTGCTCGTCAGCGAGGCCGACAACCGGGTAGATCGCGCCAGCGGCGATATCGAGTCGTTCCTCGTCGAGGCGTTAACCTTAACGGCGCGGCCATAAATGACACCTATCTTATGAAATATACCGGGAGAAGCAATTAATAGCTAATCTAAACGGTCGAGCAATTACATTCACATGTTAATGCCTGGGATCAGAAACGAACGATCGGGCCAACGGTCGACATTGTACTCCGGGTCCCGGGCGGGTACAATGGATTCGACGGCGTCGAAGGGTAACGCCGGCGAGGATTAGATCCTGCCACTGGCAGCCGTTTAACGAACGTTAGACCGACGTCTCTGGCCCGATTGCGATCTCGAGCTCGGTGCAAAATCAGACGTCTGTCGCGAAGAATCGATGGACCGTCGAATGGATCGATTGGCGTATCCGAAAGTCCGGGTTAGGCGAGTCAGCGACGTTCCTTCTGAGAGACGGGACCTACAGTCGACACCATTTGAGTTCTCGACAAGATAGAACCGATCGTAAATTAAGAAAAGAAAAGAAAAACAACAAAAAGAATGGCGATTTTCACGTCTCAACCGACAAGTTCACCCCGGCTGCCCCGGGGGAGGAAAGTAACGCATGGAAAGCGATAAAGCAACTTCGCGGGACCTTTATGGCCGTGCTTCGTAAATCACGCATTAGAGCGCGTTAAAGAAAATTAGGCGCCATTACCGTTAACCGTGATTAAATTCGGTAAATGAACAATACTTGTCTTAATAAAGTCGAGAACGACTGTAATTCATGCGCCATTGGCGTGTTTAACGTCGATGAAAGGTAACGGCGGCTCGGCTAGATTATGCCAATAACAACCATTTATTATGATTGGGAAGTTAAGCGCTGCACTGACATTTCCCGAGATCGTAATCTCGCGCCGGGAGATACGCGTATCGCGAGGAATCGATACCGTACGACATCGCGCGGGAAATGTCGGAATTCTTCGAAGCGACTCGCGCCATGTTCGCGACAGGAGTCGGACGCGAGTGTGCGGCAAATCATACGGTCGTCGACGTTGCACGTGCAGCTGCGCTTTGATACTTTAAACTCCGCTGAAGGCCACTTCGGCGGTTTTTCGGGAGCAACCCTCGACCGGGGCCGGTCCTCGACTTAGGATCGTCGCCATTTAACGGCGTCGGAGTTCCGAGAGATCGAAAAAGGAGCCCTAGGAGCTCGCACTCCTTTTTATCACGTCCGTGCCATTAGCGGCCGCAATGAGCCTAATTTCTATCAAGGTCCGGTGCCTTACGAATGTTGCCGAGTGCCCGTGGGCCTTATTAGGTGCCTCCTACCCCGGATCGGGCAGACTGGCCTACCACTCTTAAAATCATGGTTGCACGTAACCGTCTACTGATTATATGGATTCGGCGATGATTTCTGATGATGCCCCGACCCCCGAAATGGTAAAATAATACAGTGTCGTCTCCTAGCCGGGGCCCTCTTGGTACCCCGAGCCGGTTCGTTAGTGGGCCCTGGCGCGATGCACCCTGTCATTATGCGGCTGGTCCCATCACCCCCACCAGTGCCCAATTTTCAATGGGCCTCTCTTTGCCCCGTGCCTTCCAAGCTTACACCTTTGCTCCTCTCCCCCTCGACCTTTTTCGGCGCTTTTTACTTTTTCCCCCCGGCGTCCTCTCGAAAGGGGTACCTACTCGCCGAAAGCACCGAAGGCTCCCGCCTCGGTAGCGGGATCGAAAACTCGAGTCTGGAACGCGAAACCGGGTTCGCAAGGGACCTCGACGGAGGTGGCGAGGTCGATCGACTGTTCGAAAGATGGGGAATTGGTTTTGATTTTTTTTGTTTTTTTTTTTTTCGAGAACAACTGGGCGGGTGACCGTGCGAAAATCTACCCGACCGAGCTTTCCGCGGTTTCTTCCGCCCAGAGGAGTCCGGGGACCCGAGGGGGGGCGGTAGACCGAGGGACGAGAAAATAAGAGGACGAGTCCCGCGACTGGAAGAGGTTCCAGAAACGCGGACACCGCAACCGTCCTGGGCGTAGGTGGTCTCTACGAAATGGCAATCATTTCGGTTAATGACGAGAGACCGAGGAAGAGCGATCCTCTCAGGCCGTAGATTATACGCGCGGTTGTTTCCCCTTCGCCCCTCCCGGCGATCTTAATTTTTGTCCGAAGCTGCCGGTGCATCCTGCAGGATGTTCCAGCCGCATCGGGAGTCCTTCCCTACCGAGCCGAGGCTCTCTCTGTAATTTTCATCGGCGACGAGCCGAGAGCCGCTCGGCTCGGAAATTGTGCCCGTCCTGCGATTTCGTGAAAACCCCTCCTTAGGCTCACCCCCCCGAAAACCACGGCGACATCCGAAAGCCGGGCACGACCGAATCCAAGGTGGTACTTTCCGTTCGTTCCGCGGCGGGGTCGACGTCGCTTCTGCGGAATCATTTGCGAGGAAATGACATCGCGATTTAACGGGTCCGTGGGGATGGTCCCCTGATGTGAAGTCCGCTGCCGTATTCGGGATTTCGGGCCCTAATGAGAGATATTACGCCTCAAGCACCTACTAACCAATTGCGCTTAATGTCCTCGAGTGCGCGGTAAAGTCCCGATATGGGCATGCGGATCCATAAAGTGATTTCGGGAAGCGAGGTTTTCGGAGAAGCGACGATTTCATAGAACCTTTGGGCTAATCGGCCATTCCTACGCCTCGGGTCCTCCGGGAGATTTTTCCCCACCTGGGTATAATTTCTTCTCGAGTCTCTGGGAATGTTTTATCAACGATTCTGGCATTTGAACCGCGAATCTAGGAGCACGTGCTCGTTGAACGCATAAACGTCCACTTTTCCCGGCGCGTCATTCCGAGCCCTAGCCTCGGGTGATATTCGCGGCCACGTAACCCACATACGAGGGTGCGATAAGTCATTTCGTACTTGTTAACGAAAGAAAATGGTACAACGAGAAGGATTCCCGCGGGGTACCGCACGAGCGCGGGATAACGATCCCGGGCGCGCGCTTAGCGGGACGCCGTTCGTAAGGATAGAGGAAGAGGGATCCTTTTGGGAGGAAAGCGGCTCGCAAAAGTCGGGAAAAAAAAAGAAAAAAAAAGAAGAAAGGAGCATCTCGCGAGCACCGGACGTTGATCGATGAAGAATCGCGGAGAGTGACTTAATTATTGATACGGCATCGACGATTAACTCCCGGCGAAGTAGATCTGTCCCTGGAAAGCCAGCCTCACATTTTGTAGAACCCGTTCCGGGACGTCATTTTTGCGGCGCATCGCGCAAACTCGACCGACCGCTCCGAGACTCGATACAGACCTTCCGGGCCTATTACGGACTAGTTACTCGAAGTAGAAATAGATTCCAAGTCCAAGTGGACCCTTAGCGGCCCGTAAACGGGCCCGGTCGGGATAAACTAATCGGCACCGAGTCGTTTGCCAACTTAGGGCTCTCCTCTTGTAGGGCTATTTGCCGACACGGCCCTCGCGCGTCCTGGATGGGATCCTAATGTAAGATCGCGATCCTCTGCTACCGAGACAAGCTGTCTCTTGTTTGCGTTACGTAAAACCCGCGAGTGGCTGCGGATTGCATACCCCGCGGTAGTAAATGCTGCGAGCATTTAGCAATGATATATGCGTCGAGGCATCGAGTATTACGGCTTATTGAAAGGCCAGCGGACCCGACGCGACGCGGGGCAGAAGAGATCGAAAGACCGTCGATCGAGATGCGATGATCGAGATATATATATTTTTCATTTTTTTTCTTCGAACGCGATAGACGACTTGGTTTACCTTTACCCCCGCGAAACGACTCGACGCCCTCCGCGTCTTGCGAGCCACCGTTTAGGAGGTGCGGCTATTCCGTCGCGTTAACGACGCGCAAGCTTCCAGTCGGAGCTGCGGGGCAACGAGTTTGGGATTTGGCAGAGAATCCTCCGGGATTCCTGACTTAGGCTGATGCGACACGCAGTCGAGCTTCGAAAGCCTCGAGGCTTGTCGAACGTCTGCACGCGAGCGTTTCTCCCTTTGGTGCCTTTCATTGGGGGACGCCACGACGCGTCCCTAGGGCCTAGCCGGGGTTTGCTTCGCGTTATCAGGGGACCCCTGGCTTCGCCGATTCCCTTTCGGAATCTTCTCCGGGGTGGAAAGACTTACCAACTTTTCGGGTCCGCAGCGACGTTCGGAGGCCTCCTCGAGTCTCGGTCGTCTAAACTCCCGGCTCCCTCGCATCGCTCGGTCCATTGTGTAACGGAATGGACGCAAAGGTCACTGCTCGGGGAAAAACGTAGGTCGTTAAGGCGGAAGACAGATGACGTATGGCGTAAGGCGTAGGAATTCAACGCGTTGAAAGTCAACGAATAAATGTACAGTAAGTCAATCAAGTCCTGCCCGCGATCCGACTCAAAGGGGCGTCAACAGTTTCGCCGGCTCGCGGGAACAAACGGTAAGCAGCCGCGAAACTCTTGTCGCCAAACGCGAGCAAGAACTCCCCGAGAGTCGGCGTTACGAAATCTAAGTCACGTAAGGGAGGGAATTTCGCCGGACCGAGCGATGCCCCGGGCTGAAATTCTCTCTAACGCAGGGAGGATCCACTCCAATTTCCTAGAAAAAATTCGACTGACGAATTTTAGTCTTTCCTCTCTCCGAGGCCCGTTCCAGCTATCGGGAACCTCCCTGAAAATCGGGGATAAAATTGACGCCTTCTATATATATATTTGGTGCGAAACTCTGTCGAATTTCTTAAAAAAATCCAGAGAAATTCACCTAACTCCGGGGAAAGTACTCGAATTGCCGGAAACGAAGCCCGATTCCGCTAGTCCGCGTCCTTCGGCGACTTCCGCAGTCGGTCAGCGATTCCGCTAGATGCCGGGCGATAGGTAGGCTGCGGATCGGCCGCTGGACCGCGCGGAATAAAGCCGGCGCGGCCGGTCTCGCAACGCATACCTGGCCTCGGCGGCTAGTAGTGGGCAGGGGAGTCGGTAGTGGGCTCGGGAGGGGGCCGGGAGAAGGGGGGCAGGGTTAGGTACAGTCTAGCCGGGGGCCGGCGGGCCCGAGCGGGCCCCGAATGCCGGGCCGGCGCGGCACGGGCCCGGGATCCCCTCTCCAAGATGGCCGCCGCCGGTCCCGCTCGGGCCCCCCTGACCGAGGCTCGCCTGGCGCGCCAGGGGAAGGGTAGGCCTTGCAGGTGCCGCCATGTCAGTGCATGCCTAACCTCGAAGCCGCGCGGAACGGACGCCCGAGGTAGCCGCGATACCTCGTGCACCTTAAGGCCCATTCCGAGGGCGCGACGCGACAGGCCCTCAACGGCGGAGGGGCTCCCGGGCGCGTCCGACGGGCCCACGTGCCCGGCTCGACGTCGGCGCGCTGATTTCGGGCCCAGAGAGGCCCCGAGAGGCCCCGACTAGGCGAGGACTGCGACTGCTGGGCGCGCGCGCGCGCGCGCGCCGAGGCCCGACCGCGAGCCGTCGCCGGGCCCGTTGGTTCCGCTCGACCGGAATTTCGCGCCCTGCGCCGATGCTGGACTCCCAGGGCTCATCGGACGATGCCGCAGGAGACGAGCGAGTTGGGACTGACCGGACCCCGGCCGTGAGAGGTCCCTCGGACCTGGCCGACGCGCCGGAGTCGTACTGACCGGGCGGTGGAATCGCGGCGGGGGTGCGCGGCGCGACCTTCGACTCCCGGTGGACCCCGGGCGAGCGCGAAGTGAGTTCACGGATCAGAGGAAAGTGATGGTGCCGGTGATTCGACGCGGGGAGGAGTTATGCTCGCGGTGAGAGCCGTCTCTTGCCGCGGGTGCGTGCGGACCTTCGGCCAGGGTCGACCGAGAGGGTCGTCCACCGGTGGCGGCAGGTAGCTCGCGAAGTGACGGGAAGACGCCGGAGGGTGGAGCATCGATCGGTGGATTTCTCGACCTCGCGCGGTGCTTCCGTCCAGATGAAAAGGGAACGAAGAGCCCCGGCCACCTCGAGATAGCCGAGTCGCCGAGGCCCCAGGATGCGGTCGGTCCGGGTGCTGCATTCGCTGCTCCTGGTGCTAGGAGCCTGCGTCCTTCCGCAGACGAGGGGCGAGCTGGTGCGCCACCTGGAGGTGTCGGAGAACGCGCCCCCCGGAACCAGAGTCGGCTTCATCGACGCCGACAGCCCGCCCTACCTGATCGTCCCGGTGCCCGGGTCGGCCGTGGACGCCGACCTGATCGTCGACCAGGCCACCGGGGAGATCCGCACGCGGGTCCCCCTGGATCGGGAGACCAGGGCCTCCTATAGTCTGGTGGCGCTGCCCCAGTACGTCCGGGTCGTGGTCAAGGTCCTGGACGAGAACGACAACGCCCCCACCTTCCCCTCGGACAGGGTGGACGTGGAGTTCCCTGAAAACTCGCCGCGCGACGCGAAGCGCGCCCTGCCTCCGGCAAAGGACCCCGACCTGGGTCAGTACTCGACCCAGCGGTACGAGATAGTGTCCGGAAATGTCGGCGACGTCTTCCGACTGGCGCCGCACCGAGGAAGGGACGGCGTCCTGTACCTGGACTTGCAGAACTCCGGCGTCCTCGACCGCGAGGTCAGGCCCGACTACTGCCTGGTGATCGAGGCCCTGGACGGCGGCGCCCCGCCGCTCCGGTCTCGCTTGACAGTGAACGTGACGGTCCAGGACGTCAACGACAACCCGCCCGTCTTCAACCAGACCCGATACTCGGCTAGCGTGCCGGAGAACGCCACCGTCGGTAGCATGGTGCTGGCCGTCAACGCCACGGACGCCGACGCCGGCGACAACGGGCGCATCGAGTACTCTATCAACCGGCGCCAGTCCGACCGGGAGGAGATGTTCCGGATCGACCCCGAGACCGGAGTCGTCTACGTCAACAAGGCCCTGGACTTCGAGTCCAAGGAGCGGCACGAGCTGGTGATCGTCGCCCGCGACCGCGGGGCCCAGCCCCTGGAGGCCAGCGCCTTTCTGTCCGTCCGAGTAACCGACGTCAACGACAACCAGCCCACCATCACCGTCATCTTCCTCTCGGACGACGCGACGCCCAAGATCTCCGAGAGCGCCCAGCCGGGCGAGTTCGTCGCCAGGATTTCCGTCAGCGATCCCGACTCCAGGACCGAGTACTCCAACGCCACCGTCACCCTCAGCGGCGGTGAGGGCCACTTCGGCCTCGCCACCAGGGACAACATCATATATCTGGTGGTCGTCGAGAAGCCTCTCGACCGGGAGGAGAAACCCGTTTACGAGCTGTCCGTCGAGGCCACCGACGCCGGGACGCCGCCCCTCAGGGCTGCCCGCAGCTTCCGTCTCCTCGTTACCGACGTCAACGACAACGCGCCCAGGTTCTCCCAGGACGGGTACGAGGCGCACCTCCTGGAGGCCTCCGAGCCCGGCACGCCTGTTCTCGGCGTCGCCGCCACCGACCTCGACGAGGGCCTCAACTCCGCCGTCAAGTACTCCCTCCGGAACACCACGTGGTTCGCCGTGGACGAGAACTCCGGACTCGTCACGACGTTGACCCACGTAGACTGCGAGGCCGACCCTGCGCCCACGTTCCTCGTCGTTGCCACCGACTCCGGACATCCCCCGCTCAGTGGCACCGCCACCGTCCGGGTCACCGTCCACGACCTCAACGACAACGAGCCCATCTTCGAGAAGCCCCTCTACAACGCCACCGTGCCCGAGGACCTGCCTGTCGGACGCTGCTTTCTCAAGGCAAGTCCATCCTCCGGATTCCGACGCCGTGCCGGCGATTCGCACCGAGCGCGGAGAAAGTGGCGAACGAGTCCGCCAGAAATGCGGCTTTCTCCCGAACCTCGCCGACGGGGATCGATCGGATACGCGGTCGGGATTATCGACGGCGATCCGGACGTGAATGACGTCGCTTATCGGGTCGGCATCGCGCGATAAGGCACGTCATTTTCCCCCCCGTCGACGCCTTCGACCCGACGCGAAGACGCGCACCCATTGCGGCGCGTCGCGGGTGAAAGCGAGAATCGAATCCGCCTTCCGAAGCCATTCACGGGGGCATTAATTCCGTCCACGTTTCGAACGGACGATCCTCGAGTCGGGCGATCGCGTCGACCTATCATCGAGCGTCCATTCAGCTTCGAGAGAAACGTTTTCCGCAGCCGCGAGGCTACGCCATCGGACTTAACGTAACCTCTCCTTCTAGTAGTTGAGCGGTCGAACTTGCACTTAAATTTCGTTCCCCTGAGCTTTCGCGTGCGCTTTCGCGGCGGATCGTTCAGCCCTCGGCACGGAACTCCCGCCTGCCGTCTTTCAGCATGAAGTTCTTACAGGATGTTCTTACATAATGTTGTTACATGCAGGAACATTGTTTCATCCCGACCATCATTCACCCACCGCCTACTGCAACTCCGATGCTTCCTGCGGACGTTCGCGAGGCGATTCATCTTGCCGAGTATTATGCGTTCATGCGTGTACCGGGTAAAAAGTATCCTCACCCGAGCACGAACGCGGCTTAAACCTTCCTAATCCGCGCGATTTCCCGTAATCGACCGCGGAGATGACGTTAATCCATTTCCGACGTTCCATTAACCGCGGTAATTACGGAGGGCCATTTCTCGCGACATTGTTCCTCGACGCCGGATACGGAGTCGATGGACGGACATTTAGAGAATTATTCCCATTCGAGGCGAGCATTGTCCGGAGTCTTGGGGAGAAAGAGTTCGCTTTATTCCGGGGGGATTTATGTCAATAATCGGCGATCGCTATGGGTCAATAATGCTCGTCGATCACCTTCGGAGCGACGAGTCTTGCCCTACCGATCGTTCACCCGGAGGAAAAAAGTGTCCGCATAAAATGGCCAGGTTATGGGCTTCCGTAGCCTGGATAGACAAGAGGCGGTACGTAAAAAGTAGGATTTACGTGTGCGCGTTGCCTCGGCGTGCCGGGGCATACTCCGGGGTACGGGGGATTGCATAACGCGGGCATGATATGTAAAGCAACGGCGCGGCAACATGTGGGAACTGGTAGGCAGGGGGTATCGAAGAAAATGTCAGCGAGATACGAATATCGTTTGTGTACCCCGCGGGGTCTTAACTCGATCTCGCCTGGCCATGGTTCCGACCCGATGCGCTCGATGCGCGTTCAACCTATGCACCGAATCTATTGTAGAACCGAGGAGACCCGTTCTCGGATCGATCTCCAGGAGGCACCTCTTCGATGGATCCGGTCGAACCGTCGAGAGAGCGATGCGGTTTCTGGCCGGTGACGGAACGTCCGTCATTCATAACTCGAGTCGGGCCGACTTCCGCTTTCGGTGATCCGTTCTTCGTTTCTCCTCCGGCTCGTTTTTCTCCCGTTGGGTCGCCATTCGCGTCGAGCGCTGGCCCGTAAGGGGTTCGCCGAATGCCGATGGAAATTGAGAGAATAAATGAGTACATTTTTCAATCGGGTAGTGGGCCGCACAGACCGGCCAGAGACGTTCCTCGGGTGTGCGGATGTTAATGGGGAACCGGACCCCTGAACAATATTTTATTGGCGTTTCACTGCCTAGTTCAATCGGGTGATTTATAATTGTTGTCCACGCCGGGTGTAATTATTATAATTACAGATTTTTCGCTGGCTCGTCTTTCTTTCCCCGCCGGTCGGGGCCCGGGCCCCTCTTCGGGATGCTGGTCCTCTTCGGGGCGGCTCGTCTCACCGAGTCAAATCAACGGCACGTCGTCTCTCGTTCGCCCGTGGAAACGGGTTTTGGAAGTCGTATTCGTGCGCCAAATATTCCTCGGGACGTGCATCTCCTGCTCGGGAGGCGTGCTCTTTCTCTCTCTCTTCCCTTCCCGGGTCTCGCCGGGAAAAAAAAAAAAAACGAGGAAATTACACGACGCGTCCGGGAGACGTCACTCCTTTGACTTTACGTCGAACTACCCGGGAGAACGATGGACTCGGACGAACTTCCTCCTCCCGCGAAAGGGCGACTCCGAAGTATTCGCGGGGTCCTATATCAATTTTTTCCGAATTAATATTTAGATTCACCGGGATTTTTCGCCACGTCTTTAACGTCTTTGGCTACTAAGTGCGCCTAAAGGCGCCCGACGTTTGGTTCAATATTGCCTGCTCGGTCAGACGAATTTCGCCCATATGTCGAAATGGCTCCGGGTTCAAAGGGTTAGGGACGCGCGGATCGTCCTCGTGCACACCCTAATGATAAATCGATGCGTCTGGTTTGACGGTCAAATGGTACGCGTAATCGAACACGGGGACCCTCGGGTCTTAAATATTCTACGTCGACGCAATCGTTGGTCTCGTAGATTAGATTCCTTCTCGAGTTCTCACCTTGCCAGGGGAGCCATTGATCGAGAAAAGCCAGCTCGGCACCGCAGAAATCCAGTCCTCCCGGTCGGCAGGACTGGGGAACGAATTACCGGCGAGTTCGTACCGTTAGATGATAGTTATTACAAACCCTGCCATCACCCTCCACTGTCCAGGATGGGAACGCTCTCGTACGATCGCGGATTCACGATTCTCGGCTGCGTTCTCACCGTCTCGGAGCACCGAACGACTTTGGAGGACTTTTTACCTTGGCTAAACCACCCCCGCCCTCCTAAACGCCCGCGAGTGCTCGAATCGGAGAGATATTTATTGCGATCACTGTTATCACCTCTCCGACGCATCGAGAATACTGCTTTCCCGGGGTTCCAGCTGTCTGGGCTCGGTCACGGTTCCGGGCAATCATTGGACGATCTCCTCCATTCCTCATACGTTATTTACCTACTCGAGGATCCTCCGCTCTCTCTCTTTAACGTGTTTTAATTATCGACTCTCTTGTCCATCCTAGATCTCTACGACTCGAGATCTTCCGTGATTCCACCGCGTCGATAACGCGTATCGCGACCAGGGACCCAATTTTCGAGTTCATGCGGATTTTCTTCCCGTGTGACTAGATTCGAATGAGAAATTGTGCATCGTTGGGAAGTCGCATCGTCGTTTGGAAATCACATACTGTCTAATTTCACAAGCAAATGTTGATCGAACGAGCTCGAGGATTGGAACCCATTTGAGAAACCGTCCACGTGGAGGTCCTTTATTTTTTCGAAGGACCTCCAAGGTGCTCGATATCCCTAGGAGTGCCGACCTCGAGGATGAGCCAGGATGCCCCGATGCAGCGCGATCGTGTATCGCGGTACAAAGTGATGCCCCGTAATGGGTCTAACCACCGTCTGACATCTGGCATTAGGCACTCGGGCTTTCGAGTGGCAACGCCCGCAGCAATTGTTGCCGGTTACGACTCGTGCCCTCTCTTTCCCTCCTCTCTCTCTTTCCCTCTGGTCCCCTCCACTCGGCCGAGCCTACGCTCGCAGGCTGCATTCCGAGTGCACGAGATATACCTATGCACTCGCGTGCACCGGTTGCTGCAGCTTGTCCGCTACCAGGAGTATGATCCAAGATTCTGGAAACCGTAACGCGACCTCCTCTCTCTCTCTCTCTCTCTCCTCTCCTGCTTTCGCCTCTCCCTCGGTCCCTCCTCTCTTTCGAACGCGCGTCGGACTAACCAGTATCCACAAGGTCGTGCTTTCCTGCATCCACCGTGAGATCTTTCCAGCTACTGTGCGAGGTGCACTCTTACGAGGCCCGACGATTATATCCTCCGTGAAATCCGATATTATGCATCTGGAACAGTCCGAGGGAAGCGGGAGATCCATGTTAATTATTGTACTCGGGGCCGACCTCTTTGATTCTTGCGGTGCAAGGACCCGGGGGCGAGGGGGAGGCTTTTGAATCGATCTCGAATCGCGGAAACCGATATCCGTGGTATCGAGCTTTCGTCTGGAGGACCAACCGGAACGACTTCGACCTCTCGCCGGGAACCACGCGGAGATCTCTGCGGGTGCTTTTCCTTGTCTGGAAAAGTCCCGACCTCGTTTCCGGGATTTCTACTCGAGACCCTCGCCCGACTTGCGGAATCTTCTGCTCGTTCGCTTTCGATCGGTTCCAATATCCTGCCGAGCTTTCTCCTCGCCCCGAAGGACACTCGGCGTTTTCCTCGGCTTTCTCACGAACCCCGGGGAAGATCTCCGCGATGATAATATCTAAGGTGCGTTTACGTCGGAATAGCAAACGGAATCCGCGGGCGCGCTGCACTTTCTACATGCGCCGCTCGCGGCCGGAGGACTTCTCTCGCCTCTTGCGCGCCTCGTTGCATGTTATGCAAAACTCACCGCGGAGCGGGCGGAATCGACCGCGCGTAATCGATAATCGATCCCCGAAGTAGCGCGAGGGGGAAGAAAAAAAAGCCGAAGATTCGTTCCGGCGCCTTGTAGACCGACGCGGAGACCTTTCCGTCGCGTCGCGGCGACGGCGGACGGCGAAAATCGGGAATCGGGCGCTCGTTTAATCGTTTCCAAGGCTCTTTCCTGGGGTCCTTCGGGAGATCCTTCCCCCCTGGGTTCTTCCAGGCGCGTTTTTCTCCCCGGGCCGCATTACCGTCCGCTCGCTAGGACGCGCGGCCGGGGCCTCCGCAGAAGAAGTGCGCGTTTTACGCGCGCGCGAGGGGGCGCCGGGCAAAAATCCCGTCGCTCTACGTGATCTCCGCTCGAGGGAGCCCGGAGCAATGATTACGAGCACGAAGGTGGAGGGAGCCGAGCTTTTTCAATTAATAAGTTCCCCGGAGTACGAAGACGCGCTCCGGTCGCGTGTACGTCCGATAGGGCGGGATAGGGGAGGGGAAACGAGACGAGATAGTCCGGATTTTTGCGAACAGCCGATTCGAAGCGTCGATCACGCGAGAGCCTAGCCCTCGGCCGCCATTTTGGATCCTCGATTTCGTCCAACATCCGAAGGATCGGAACGACTAGGTGCTCCCGAGGCTGCTCCTCGTCTCAATGGCCGAGTAAGCTCCGCTCGGTCGGGAATATCGTCATAATTTATGCCGCGTCCGGGCGGCCATTATGGCGAACCGGCCGATCGGGAAGAAGTGGGTGCCGACGCGTTAGAGCCGACCGAGCAAACGAGTCGATGCATTTTCTGACCCCGTGATATTTCTAACGATCGGCACCTCGCGCGCCAGTCGAAGACGGTGCGTTTCCTCGCTTTCGCGAGTTAACGAGCGACCCGCCGCGAGGCAGTCCTAGGGCTCCGTCCGCTGCGGATTTCGCCGAGGATTCCCTCTGGAAATCATTGATTTTATCGCTAGAAATAAGGCCACAATTTTAAGGCCGAACTTGTTACCGAATCGCACCGAGAGTTCTGCATATGCGATCAAAGGCAATTGGCTCTCAAAGAAGGAATTCGATTTTACTGATTCCCAAGGGAATAATCCCTCCACTCCACGCGGTCGAGCCGTCCGTCGTTGGCGTCGTTAGCGACTCGTCGAGCGATCGCCCCGGGTCGACCGGGTCGCTATCGAAGATCGGCGGCGTCGGATCGATCCTCGACATCGGGATCCCCGGTCGGTTCCGCGCGATTCGCACCTGCGGACGTGGCTCCGCGTCTTGGACACGGATTGCAACGCAACGACCGCACG